AGGAGAGGTCTGCCACGCCATGTGGTCACCTCCAGGGCAGGCGGGAATCGAACTCATGCGGAATTGGCCTTAGATTCTCAGTGCTGTGCTTTAACCCGCTGTGCCACCAGGGAGGGCCATCAGTACATTAATTTTTAAAAAGCTACAACAAACATAGCCTAACATATTAGCCAACAGATGTAAAAATTCCTCTAAAGAAATGAGAAAACTAAGAACAATCTCATAGAAAAGCTGTCAGAAGATGTGAAGAACAAATTCAAAAATGAACCAACTCAAATGGGCAATAACCATGAAAATAGTTAGTAACCTGTAATAAGTTACTGACAATAATGAGATATCATTTCGTATCAAAGAAAAGTCCAACAATACTAACAGCTAATCAGGATATAGAGATTATCTACACAGTACTTATGGTAAGTGTCATTTGGAGAGCCAATGTCTTTGTAGCAGCTTTGTTTATGACATTAGAAGATTAGATGGACAAATGTTGGCATATTCACACAGTGAAATGCTGAAGTGCATTGAAGTTGCTGAAATACACCTACTTCTATCCACGTTGACATAAATATTTTGAACTCAAAAACAATTGTGAGTGAAAAAAAAAGGACAGTGAGACACTTAACACCATTTACATAAACTGTTAATACACAAAGCAATACATAAAAATCATATATAGATATGTACATGTAGCAAAAGCATAAAAACAAATACAATGTATACCACAATATATACCAAATTTCAGATAGTATTTACTTCTGGGAAGGAAAGGCAGAGAGAGAAAAGAATGTAGGAGAGATCCACAGAAAATTTCAGATCTGGAATGTGTTTGTTTTTGAAGGAAAAATAAGTTATTCTAATTAAATAAAAAATAAACCATTTTTAAAATCTGATAGAACTACACCTCTAAATCATGTACAATACTATCCACCAGTTTTTCAATAAATAGATGCTTCTTTATGACTCACCACTAATCACTGAAATTTATATTAATTTATGAGACTAATATTCATAAATATTGATTTATGTTTTAAAAAAAACTACTAGAACTGCATGCAGATTTGCAGTGGAGTTTATTTACTCTCTATAGTGTCCTATGCTACAAATGAAACAGGAAAATGTGATCACTAGCAGTAATGACATCTGAAATGAAGAAAGAATTTTCTTCATTCACAGCTAGGAAACATAGGATATAGGAAGTAACTTACCTGTTTTTAGGAGTTAGGATGGGATTAAATGGAGTGTAACCAAGCTGATTTATCAAGCAGCCAGTTTGGAGACAGAAGGCTCTGAGAAGTGGGGCTTCCTGTCTCAGAGGAAGGAAAGTGAAACTCATAGCAATTAAAAAAAAAAAAATCAATGGGCAGCCTGCCAACATTTAAAAGTTTCTTTTTCCTAACAGCCACTAAGTTTGCTTTCCTAGCCAGAAGGAGATAGAAAAAACAAAAGAAGAAGAAAAAGAATGGATTCCTGCTGAATACATGGAAAAGAATTTTGGTTCTCATTGTAGCCCACATGAGGTCATGCATGAAATGATAATTAATAATAAAATTCCAATATAGCTAATCATATTTGAAATTTCTTGTGCATTTAACTCTGTACTTAGCCCTTTGCGGCTGTTCCTGGGAATAGGCCTGGGCTATCACTACCAAAAGTCAATAAACAGAGGCAGGAATCGAATCTGTAAACACTTATTTTTCAGATCACCAGCCACTGATCTGAGAGAGTAGAGGGCAGAGCACCCTGAAGACCATTTGCCCATTGTCACTGATCTCAGAGAATGAAGAGACTGTGCTGTCATCTCATCTTGAGCTAGCCTTTCTACAATGAACTAAATAAAAAGTCATAAGCAAACAGTCCATCAACATTGATGTTCTTAGATTTCATCACATTCAGCTCCCAGAGTTTATCAGCTCTTTGATATCTTGGCCCTGGTACATCCAGTGGTGTCAATGTCCAGCATTCACTTGGGCATCATTAGGGCAACAAGCTCAATCTTAAAGCAAGAATCTTAGTTTAAAGAAAACAGATCTTCAACCTTCCAGTATTTATTTGCAGCCTGGCCCCCTATCAAAACCACTTACTTTCCAGGCCCTCTCTGGTAGCACAGTGGGTTAAAGCACAGCACTAAGAAGCTAAAGCCACTTCAGCATGAGTTCGATCCCCAGCCTGGAAAAGTGATCTACATGGCACAGCAGACCTCCCCTGACCCGTCTGCTGCTCCCCTCAGCAGTGTACTTCACTGATCTGCCTGTTCTGCTCCCCATTCTGTTTCTGGTGAAGCCTCTCACAGTACCTGCACCTCTGGCCTGTACCCCAGTTCTGTATGCATAAATAAATAAATAAATCTTAAAAAACAAAACAAAAACTTACTTTGTCCTAATTGTTCCTCAAAACAATCTTGGACAGAAAACAAGTTCTTAGTATCCCTATTTCTTAAAGTATGAAAATTAAATATAAGGACATTATGTAATTCAATTAATATTATGATAAAGCTGGCTGGTATTCAAAACCAAAGCTTTCTACATTGAAACAAGCAGTAAGAGTTGACTTTTTTGACTTCATGTATTAAGCCGGTTCCAACTTCTTTCCCGATTGGACATTCTTTCACGGGCTCAACACAGGCTTCCGCCCAGGGATCAATAATGCTGAGTGAGAGGAATGCCTACACTCAAGGATTGTGGCTGTGTGCTCTGGGAGACAGACACTGTATTGGTGAGCTAAGTGATGCAGGTGTAGTGAAAGCAAGCCCTGGGAACCTGGAGAACACGGCTTCACCCAACCTTAGGACATTAGTGAAAGTCTTGTTAGCAAATTCAGTTTAAACTTCGACATGAAGTACAAGGAGAGCGTGTGGCAAAAGAGAGAGCGTCATGCCATCTGGGACCGCTGAGCAATTTTCAGTCTGATTAGAAAACGGAGTGACAACATTGGATTACCTGCTTAATAAACAAGTAGTATAAATCTAGTCTTTCACACAACTCAAATTTATCATCGCATAGTTTCTGTGGATACGGAGTTAACTTGGCTCCCCTGGACTCTGCTCATTGTCTCACTCAAAGGGATGACCAGTGCTTGCTCTCATCTTTCCTTAGGATAAAATGTGATTTCAAATCGATTCAGGTGTTTGTCAGAATTTAGTTCCTTATAAATGTAAGACTGAGATTCCTCTTGTCAATTTCCTCACCCTGCACCACACTCCACCCTGTTCTCTCTCCCCTCTCAGACCCCTTCTCTCGTCCCCGCTCAGACCTAGGTATAATCAGGAAAAAATAACCCACAGAAATTATGTCTAGGGAAGTTTAATATAAAGAACTATTTATAGGAAAAGAGGATTAGTATTATTGTCCTAAAAGACTGACTAGCAGAAAGTAAATCTAAGAGCCATAGCAGATAGCAGATAGCAATAGTTCTCTTAGCGTGTAGAGCACCCAGGAAGATTTCCTGCCAGAGCTCTGACCCTGACTTCAGTTATGGCCTTGGCTCAAGAAGTGGTGAAGGGCCTATACAGTTGCATTGTTGACAAATTCACCTTTTAGGTTGCTGGTGAAAGCTTTGCGAGAGAAGGGCGTCCCACCGAAGTCTAGCTGCTTCGAAACCACTCGAGGAGTGTTCCGGGGAAGCCACAGATCGCTGAAGGCTGCTGGTCACTACGAACCGCAGGGCCTGGCACTGGAAGAGCTGTGCTTCCTGGAGAAGCCGCTCAGTTTCTGAACTAGGAAGTAAAACTCTTCTCTTGAAGTGTCTCTCTAGTGCCCTCTGCTGACAACATTGAACGTTACCTGCGAACAAAACTTTTAAAGGGACCATTTCTATTTTCTGAGTGAGAAACGAATGAATTTAGAGGTAGGGGCAGCAAATTGATAACTGAAACAGAAGGAAGACAACAAGAAAAATGACAAATATGTAAAACTCCCTATTGTGTGAAGTTATTGTAAAACAATTGCAGATACCACAATATATCTCTAATGAAAAAGAAAAACTGACCAACGGAAAAATGTCGGAGACCCACTCATACATGTGCAGTCACTTGGTTAATGACATACACTACATTGCAGTGGAGAATGGGTCGTTCATTTTATAAATGGTCTTGAGGCAACTGGATAGCCATACAGAAAAAATAATAGTTTGACCTATACTCAAATATCAAGTGGATTGGAAGTCTGAATGTGAAAGGTAAAACAGACTTTCAGAAGAAAATTATATGAAAACATTTCCTACCCATAAGTAGGAAAAGCGTATTTAAATATTATACACAAAATGCTAACTTAAACAGCTAAGATAGTGAAAAATCTTAAAATTAAGTCTTTCTTTTTTAATGATTTGGGGTTTTTTTGTTTGTTTTAAATTTTTATTTATTTATGCGTACAGAACTGGGATACAGGCCAGAGGTGCAGGGGCGATAAAAGAATTCACCAGGGACAGAGTGGGGAGCAGAACAGGCAGATCAACAAAGTATGAGGGGAGCAGTGAGCTAGTCAGGAGAGGTCTGTCACACCATGTGGGTCACCTCCAGGACTGGGGATGGAACTCGAACTGAGGTGACTTGCAGTGCTGCGTCCTAACTCATTGTGCCACCAGGGTGGGCCCAAAATTAAGTATTTCTTACCCAAAATCACACCACTAGGAATGAAAATGCATCCCATAAATTTGGAGGGTATATATATATATATATATATATATATATATATTTATATATATATACATTCAACAGAAATCTAATAATCCAAATATTTTTTAAAAACACCTATAAATCAGGATAGATGATAGACAAACCAATAGAAATATTAGCACTTCAAAATGGAAATGATAGAGGGCAAGAACCCCCAAACCTGCCCACTCTGAATGGGTTTTGTCATCTGCTGCACCAAGACAAAACATACTCTAGTGAGCAAGACCTTTAATGGAAAGGAACTTTAATACAATTAGTGTGCAATAAAGAGAAGAAAAGAATAGACAAAATAGTTTTCACATGAAACACCAAAAGTTACCCATTCCCTTGTGGGTAGATAGATGTCCAGTCAAACAGGATTGGCCCAAAACAAGGCCCAAGAGCTTCCTACAAATCAAAGGCACCTTCTGGTGGAGATCATAGGAAAGGAGCAGAGGGAGCCACACAAGACTGGAAGGAAAAGAGCGAAATCAAAATCAAGATAAAGTGCTTCAAGTGTCTCCTTCCATGCCCCCAAGTTCCTGGTACAAGTAAGGGCAGCTTCTTCACATGTCTCTCTGCTCCATGTGCCTCCTCCAGGTCTTCTTACTCTGCCTTTTTTTTTTTTCCGTTTTCTGTCTTCTCTCCAGCTTCTCCCTGCTCACCTTTCCTTGGATGGAACAGGGAAACTGGAGCTTCCTGTTTCCTTGGGGACCACTCTATTTCAGAAATAGATTTATACAAAAGGTACACAACTTTATCAGTTATCAAAAAAAAAAAAAAAAAAGCAGCCACACAGACTGATTAAAATGAAAAATGCCAAGCAAAATTGTTGGCTAGAATTTGTGGCTATGGCAGTATGAACTGAACCAACTACTTCATAAACTAGTGGGCAATATCACTAAGAGCTGAACGTATATGTGTCTTATAACCTACCAATTCCACTACCTAAGCATTCTTATATGCATATTCATTTCAGGACATCACAAGAATGTTCCTAGAAACATTGTAATAATCCCAGATTCAAATTGCTATTCAAGCATCCAATGACCATAAAACAAATAAGTATACTATGATGTAGTCATATAATGAAATATTTACAGCTTTGAGAACAAGTGAATTGTATCCACACACAATGTGCATAATGAATCCCACAAACAAGAAGAGTAAAAGAAGTTAGATGGAAAAAAAATATATAGGTGGAAAAAAAATACACACCGTATGATTCCACTGATCAAAGCTCAAGTAGTCAAAATCTACCATGATATTAAAAGTCAGAGAAGTGACTGCTGTTACAGAGATAGTGGCTAGAAGCAGAGAGAAGTGGAGTGTTCTGGGTGCTAATAATATTCTTATTCTTCATCTGGGTGCTGGTTAGACGACTTGGGGTATGTCCTTGATCTTTACCTTGTGATTTTTACACTTCTGTAAATATACTTCAATGAGTTGTTTTAAAATGAAGAAAGGTAAATAAAAATAGACAAACATTCAAGTTTGTGAATGTGGTGTGATTAACTTCTGTATCAAATACTGTGTCTAGGATAATATATAGTCTGTCTAGGATAAGAAAAATGCACTAGTTCTAGTTGCAGTCCTCATTTGAAATAAATATTCTCCTGCCACAAGGGGGTTCTCTTGCTACACTCCTTTATTTATAACACTACATATTTTCTAGATTCTCATGGAACGCCATGCATTTTACTCCTTTATCTGTGAAGGGTTAGACAAGGCACATTCTATGTCTGGAATTCTGTAACCCTGTTCAATATATTATAAATCATGGCACTCTTCAACAATTACTCTGGAAATGGCCATCCAACAAATAGAGGAACATATTTCTCCAAAATTTACCCAATTACTACCAAGAACATATTAATTTACCATTTCATTTAACCCCTTGGAATTTCTAGTCTTTGTTCTTGCTTTGCTTCTCAGGAATAAATTGCTCTAGATAAAGTAAAAATATCAAGACTGCTGATATTTTTATCAGCTACATCTTATTTCTAACAGTTGGGTAAAACCCACTGGTACATGTTTCTGGGTGGTATCACATTTAAACCATTTATTCAATCCAGATTGCAGGGCTCTGTTAACTCTCATTAACTTTGTGCTAAAGTCAGAAAATCAGTTCAACCTATCACAATATTTAATCAAAATTATTATTAAACCAGATTCTATAAAAATTGTGCAATATACAAATATACCAAATAGCTCATAACTCAAAACATGCCTACAACATAGAAATAACTCGATAACATAATAAAATAAAATAATATTAAAAAGAGAGCAATTTGAATCCAAATAATTATAGTTAATTTATATTTCTTGATCTTGTCCACATGCATTTCATGTAACTTTTTTCTCTCCTTGCCTCATATATCTACATCATTACACAAGCTTGAGTGTCTAGCAAATCTATTTTACAAGGAGAATTTATGATGCTATCTAATTATCATTACTTCCTTTTATAAGTTTACTCATTCATTCAGTCATTGATGGAGTACCTGCAAGGTATTAGGCACAATCTGGGAGCGAGGGATGAGCGATTTTGAATAGGACAGGAAAAATATCTACCTTCATAAGGCATTTTCAGTAAGAGAAAAATGGAAAATAAGTAAAGTAAGTTTGAAACCTAATATCACACAGGTATTGATGGATGCTAAGAGCAGAAAATTTAGGATAGAGGAATCACAAGGCCAGAATTGGAGGTCAGGGTACACATGATTAGCATAGTTGCTAAACAAGCTGTAGAAATGAAATCTTAGGTGCCAAATACTATATAGCAAGTATTAACTTGCTAAAGAACGTATCTAAGGCTGAGACCAGAGATGGGGATGTGGAGGTGGAGGGGCATTGCAGAGCATCACTGGTCCTGACAAATCAACCCAGTCACACCCTAAAAATGTTTGGCTTAACAATAAATAACAATTCCACAAAGGAACAAACCCCTTCCAAACAGAACACTATAGCAATAGTTTCTGCCCTGGCAAAAGCAACTCTCCTGCCCATCTGTGAGATGCAAGTGTCTCTCTTTTTTCATTCTCCTCTTCCAAATATACATGTCCTTTATTCTTTATTTTTTTTAATATATATGTCCTTTTTAAAATGTAATCTTCACAAGCCTGTGTCATGCAAATGTCTTAATTTCCTAGGTAAACTTGTGGTGAGCTGCTGAAAGGGGAACTCTGTGGAAACTCTTCTCAGAGATAACCCCAAAGCCCCACTCACCAAGCCCCATGTCTCATCAAAACTCCAGCAGATAAAAGTTCTGATGACAGAAACAAGTTTCAGTAGTAGAGAGTTAAGGGAGTAAAGGTGATTTAATTAAGGTGGTCAGTAAAGACCTCCTAGAGGAAGGATCACTTGGGATGAGATCTGAATTATGAAGAACCAGCCATGAAAATGCCAAAAAAAAAAAACAAAAAACACCCAGTTTCAATCAAAACAGGATCTGAAAGCTGTAACAAGCACTATGGGAAAGTAGAGGAAGTTCAAAGTAATGTATGAGAAGCAACAGAAAAAATGTGAGATGAGGCAGGTAAAATTAGCAAGACATGAGCAGCTGTGAACTTCTTTGCCAAGACAGAGAGTTTTAATTCCACATGTAACAGGGAGTGATTGACGGTTTTCTCTGGCTAATTGATGAATTGATTGATAACATTGCTTTGGGAGAGGAAAAAAGAGGTGGACCGCAAAAAAGATGACAAAAGTGAATGATTATTATGTGAGTTTTTATTGATTGGTGGAGCTGAGAATAAAAATTAATGAAAAGGCAGGAAAAGATTTTGGAGGTAAAACCTGAAGACTTTGCTTATGGATTGTAGATGTGTAACAGGGTGGTCCCCAGGGAAAAGGAGGTTCCAGGTTCCCTGACCCACCCTAAGAAAGGAAGAAGGAAGAGGGAAGAAAGAAGATGGAACACACCTGGGGGAAGCACGTGGGACAGAGAGCCCTGTGAAGAAATTGCATTTGCTTCTTATCCTGTGACTGGTAGTAGCCACTTGCAGGGTATGGAAGCAATATTGAAGCAGATGTT